GGCTGAAACGAGACAGGACGAGAAGGCAGAGCAGCAGGGAACGGAAACGTGGAGGAACAGTACTTCTTCACGCCATACGGAATGCGAGGCGCAGACCCAACGGCCTCAGTATTCTCAGACGACACAGAAATAGAGCAATAGCTGATCGAGAAGGAACACGACCCACAGGTAGTGGAGGAGTCGTCCATCGTCCTTTTGGTGGCAGCGTGTAGGAGGACCATCGTGTAGGAATTGCCCATGCCCTTTAGGAATACTCAGCTCCGCTGAGCGGGACAGTCAGGCAGGTGCTTTGTCGAACTTGCTCTGGACAAGCACAGGGAACGCGTTCAGCAAGGCCTCGGGGATCTCGAACATCTTGGCGTCTGGCATCACAATGAATGTAATGGCGCAATGGCCACCTCCAGTGCTTGACCCAAAGGGCAGCTTGACCAAATCGAAGATCTCCTCATCATCAGAACTGGTCAGGTGGAGCGTGCCAGTGTGTGGGTAGGAGCCAAGCCGAATGGACTCCTTCCACTTGCCATGCTCGTCGAAGATGGCACGCGTCATCTCCCAGCACTTGCCTGGCGCGAAACTTTGGTGCCGAACATGGAGAAACGGATCATATCCGATTCGCAGTGACATGTTCTTACCATTCTTAGGATCATTCCAGAGGGGGAGGACTGCCGCTCCTGCATCCTTGCCCCAGCTGAAGAAAGCCCTGGCAGCCTCCCCAGACTGGAACCGGATGGAGTAACAGAACTTCTAGCTCTTGCGCGGGGGGCTGCACAATCGAGCAACGAACCTGCACCCGCCTTGAGAAGCTCGCAGTTGTTCACGAAATCACGGTCCAGCAGCTTCCTGGTCAATCCCCGAATCCAAATCTTGCAGCGGACACCAACTTCACCACCGTCTCGACGAGGAGAACGACTACGAGGCTCGGATCCAGCACGTGCGGGTGACACAGGATCTGCCGCACACGATGATCCCGTCGGAGAATGCCTGGATCTCTTGCACCCGCTGGGGCCCAGGCAGCGGCTGTTGGGATCAGGGCCAACGACCTCCGCACAATCTGCGCTGACAGCGGAGGAGGCAGACCCTGCAGCGGAGGCGATCGCCTTCTTGAGCGTGCACTCCATGGTGATCAGCTTGGCGTCCAGCTGGGCGGCGGTGACCAGCGGAGACGGAATGGGAGGCAGCTCTTGCGACATGTTGTCCTCATCGAGCGGTTTCGCATTGACGGAGCTCCAGCACAACAGGCGCGCCTTCTCCACCGATACCTCCATCTTCAGCTGTTCCAGACGCAGCTCGGCAACATGGGCGTCAAACTTCTCGTCCATCTCGTGGATCTTGCCGACCATGGACTGTATATCATCACGTAGAGGAGCGACTTGGAGGGAGAGGCCTCCGCCGTTGGCCTGTCGTTCCTCGGGCGAGAGAGCAGCGTGCGCCATGGCAGAGAGAAGCTGTGTGCATGCTTGGGTACGACCCCAAGATGGCTCCGTCGAGAGAGGCTGCCCACCCAAACGCCCCAGCACTTGAGCCAAACTGGCAACGGAGGAGGAGGAGGAGGAAGAGGAGGAGGAGGAGGAGGAGGAGGAGGATGAGGAGGACCCGCCTGTGGCACGCTCAGAATGGGGACAACATCGATGAGAACTGTGCTCAACATTAGCAGCAGCAGCTGGCCCTACTGACAGTGATCGCTCCCTGAAAGCGACGGTCGCTACAGCACTGTCATACCTTCCCGCCCTCCCTCCCTCCTTTCCTTCACTTCCTAATCTCATTCCCACACCCTCCGTCGCTCCCGTCTCCGCCCCTCCCTTCCCCCCCCCACCGCCTCCGTTTCCCCCTCACCACCATCCTCCTCCTCATCCGCACCCTCCTCCACCCGTTGTCCCCCCCCCCCCCCTCTGGTCCACCTCCTTCCCCCCTCCTTCCCCTAGTTGTCGCGATCGTCGTCGTAATCGTTATCCTCTCCCTCCTCTTCCTCCTCCTCCTCCTCCTCCTCCTCCTTGTCCTTTCTAGCATCGGCTCAAATTGTCTGTGCAAGGCTGCTGGTTTAGCAGCATGCTTCGAGTATGATCTTCACTGACACGAGGGGAATAAAGCACACGAGGGCTGCTACTCGTTCGTCTTCGAACTCCATTGTGGTATGAAGCGTGACGGCCTTGGTCCGATCAATGCTAGCTGAAGCTACACACATCTTCATTCCTGATTATGATCGTTCCCTGGTGACCAAGGAGGCACGTTGAGCGGCTGAAGCAATTCCCCCTCGAAGCGCAACATGCCGCGGCGACTGGGTGGAAGGCTGGGGCTGCTCTGGTATCTCCTTGCGCGTTCAGCCTGTACGTACGTCCTTTTGTTCACTTCCTGTACTTCAGCAGAAATGTCCGTCCCATGAGGCAAGTGTGGAGGTTCGAACAACCAAATCGTAGGCGCACGGTCGTCGATTGTCTGACCGTTCATGCTGCGGGGGCGTACCCCACCTGTGCGGACGCATTGGAAGTGCTTGATGCCGCGGGGTGGATGTTCGGTTGCATTACCGGCCGAAGGATACCTCCCCGGATGCTCGGCCTGACACCAGACCAATGGTAACCTGTGTGTGCAGCTGGGATTCTTGACAAATCCAAACGCCTAGTTTTCGATGAGGAAAGTGCGGGCATCATCATATACACCACTGGGATCCGATGTCTCGCGGTACGAGAACTGCAATGAGCCGATAGGCCTGCCATCTACGTGAAACAATTTATCAAACCACTACTCGGGCCATTCTTATGTTGGCGTGCAAACCATGTCCGTGAAACGCTTGGTGAAACCCGCAACTTACGCGCATGCCTTCGCCGGCTAACTGCACCTGCCTCGCGTCGTACATCTTCTTGCCCGCGGCCGTGGCGGAGCTCGGGGGTCGGTGGGTGGGGGTGGGGGATGGGGATGGGTTGGTCTTGGGTACCGCGGACTCAGTCTTTGCCTCGCTCCCTCACTGATTCTCATCGTCGTGCTTCCCTTTCTCCTGTTCGCGCGCCTGCGCGCGACTATGAGCACAGCGAATATGACGATGACGAGGGCGGCGACGACGACGAGGACGAGGACGAGGACGCCAAGGTTGACGGCGGCGACGAGGGCGACGACGACGACGAGGACGACGACGAAGACGGCGACGACAACACGACGGCGACGACGACGGCGACGGCGACGATGACGGCGACGCTCGAGGGGGCCGCGGCCTGCGCACTTTGGGCGTGGGGTGCTCCTCGCCGCGCGCCGTGCTCACAGGGGCGGCTCCGCGGGATCCTCCTCCTCCTCCTCCTCCTCCTCTTTCTCCTTCTCATCCTTCTCCTTCTCCTTCTTCTCCTCCTCCTCCTCCTCCTCCTCTTCGAGGGGGGGTGGGGGGCGGGAGGAAGACAACGACGATGGCTACGAAACTGATTATGATGATGGTGGTTGCTGCTCCGCGTCGTCCTTCTCCTCCTCCTCCTCCTTCTCCTGCTGTTGCTGCTCACCCTCCTGAGTGTCCTCACCCTCGGAACGAGGAGGAGGGGAAGGAGGAGGATTGGATGCTCATAAGGGGGCAAGAGAGAGATATATTTAATCCATGCGCGCTCATATACATATACATGTATGTATGGATGTATGGATGTAAGTATGTATGTATGTATGTATGTGTGTATGCATGTAAGTATGTATGCATGGATGTGTGTGTATATGTGTGTATGTATGTATGTATATATGCTTGCATGCATGTATGTATGTATGTATGTATGCATGTATGTATGTATGTATGTATGTATGTATGTATGTATGTATGTGTGTGTATGCATGTATGTATGTATGTACGTATGTATGTATGTATGCATATGTATGTATGTATGTATGTATATATGTATGTATGTATGCATATATGCATGCATGCATGCATGCATGCATGTATGTATGTATGTATGTATGCGTGTGCATGTATGTATGTATAGATGTATGTATGCATGCGTATATGTATGTATGTATGTATGTATGTATGTATGTATGTATGTATGTATGTATGTATGTGTATGTATGCATGCATGTATGTGCATGTGTACGTGTATGTGTATGTGTATGTGTATGTGTATGCATGTATGCATGTATGCATGTATGCATGTATGCATGTATGCATGTATGTATGTATGTATGTATGTATGTATGTCTGTATGTCTGTATGTCTGTATGCCTGTATGTCTGTATGTCTGTATGTCTGTATGTCTGTATGTCTGTATGTCTGTATGTATGTATGTATGTATGTATGTATGTATGTATGTATGTATGTATGTATGTATGTATGTATGTATGTATGTACGCGTGTGTATCTTTCTACATTTATGAATTCAGGTGTCAGGTGACCCAGGCTTCAAAATCGCCTGCTCTCGCACTCCTCGGGGAAAGCACGTTTTTGCCACCCTGGCAAAAGAAGACATCCTGCCAGGGGCCTGCGACAAGGTGCGCGCCCAACTCTGAAAAAGGTCTTCGTCTTCGTAACCAACCTCGGCCGCACGAACACTGACTCGGGCTCGTTCCTCGTTCAGGCCAAAACGCTGACAGACGTCTGCCGTGCACAGCCCTGGCCGTTTGGAAACACCGCGGGGCTGGGATGCTCCTGCCGCTGTCGCCGTTCTGGGCCCCACTCGGTTCCGCCCCGCCGCGTCCATGGGGGCTCGATGGGAAGGCGGGGCTGGGATGCACGAGGCGGGAGATGCGCGCCGTCTTTTTCGTCCCCGCACCCTGCAGGGGGCCATCCGGGACAGAGCAGTGGACCTAAGTCCACGAACACCTTTGGAGATCGTGGCATAATCCACGTACGTGCTGCAGAACGCAATCCGAGGGCTCCTTCGGACTCGCCGGGAAACTCCCGCAAGGGGTGGCCGCCCTCACAGCGAAGGGAGGTATCGAGAGGCACGCCGCCTGGAACCGTCGGCTCCTCCCTTTCAGGAGGGCCCACTGGTTCAGACCCTTCAGGGTGGCCCCTGGATTTCGAACAACAGCGTGCCCTGGGGAAGATACTTGCACCACGTTCCCCAAACAATGCTTGCACTTAGGGGTTCTTATTTCTGTTCGGGAGAACTGGGCCGTGTCTTCGGTCTGGCGGCTATGTGGCCGCCGTCGCCGCCCCGTCGCCGCCTCGTCGCCGCCCGTCGTATGGATCGTGTCTTCGGTCTGTCGGCTATGTGGCTGCCGTCGCCGCCCCGTCGCCGCCCGTCGTATAGGCCTGTCTGCGGGTCTGCCAACTACGTCGCCGCCATGTCGCCGCCTCGTCGCCGCCCGTCCCGTCACCGCCTTGTCGCCGCCCATCCCGTCGCCGCCTCTTCGCCCCCTATCCCGTCGCTGCATAGATTGCACCATACATATACACACATGTATCGCATCACATCGATTGCACCGCACAGATTGGACAACATCGATTCTCTTTTCTTGAAAGAGAATAGACTCTACCCGCCCCTCCCAGCGTTATCCGCCCCCCTTTCGGGTATGTAAATCATATATGATTCTGGCCACATGTCCATCCTGAATATGAATTTACACTATCCCAGGGGGGCCGGTAGCGGCCCCCCTGAGGTTCCCTGGTTAAAAACAATACGCGGGGACATTTTTTGTTTTAAAATAAGACTTTTTCGCGAATCCCTTGCACAAAATATGACGAAATGCACACGCACGCATCGTCGCGCGCGCATGCCGAAATCCTTCAAAAACTTTCGGTGCTGGAAGGATTTCGCAAACGAATTTCCAAAGCACATGCAAAAAACGCATGGTTTCGCACCACTGATTTGCTAAACAACTTACGCGCGAGCTATTGCGAAATCTTGAGGAAACCATAGGTTTTTCAAACTTTTCACCAAATACTACCAAACGGGCTTCGCGCGCGCATGTCGGAATCTGTCGAACGCCCTTGCGCGTGTCGTCGCGAGAACCCTCTGCAACAAAAATGGGACGAAGTGCAGACGCGCGCGTCGTCGCGCGCGTATGCCGAAATCCTTCAAAACCCATCGGTTCGGAAAGATTTCAAAATCGTGTGTCCAAAGAACCTACAAAAACACAAGGTTTCGCAACACGGATTTTCAACAAAAGCGTGCGCGCGCGCTCTTGCGTCGTCGTCGTCGTCGTCGTCGTCGCCGTCCTCCCTCCTCCCGCGTCGTCGTCGTCGTCGCCTACGTCGTCCTCTGTCTTTCCTCGTGTTCGTCGTCGTCGTCCTCTTTGGCGTCGTGGTCGTTTCCGTCGTCGTTGTCGCCGTGGTCGTCTTCCTCCTCCTCCCCTCGTCGTCGTCGTCGTCCGTCGTCGGCGTCTCGTCGTCGTCCCTCCTATTTCGTCGTCGTCGTCGTCGTCGTCGTGTCGTCGTCGTCGTCTTCCCTCCTCCCTCGTCGTTGTCGTCGTTGGCGTCGCCGTCCTTCCTCCTTCTTCGTCGTTCGCGTCGTCTCGTCCTCCCCTCCCTCGTCGTTGTCGTCGTTGTCGTCGTTGTCGCCGTCGTCGTCCTCCCTCCTCCCTCGTCGTCGTCTTCGTTGGCGACGTCGTCGTCTTCGTCGTCGTCGTTGGCGTCGGCGTCGTCGTCGTCTTCGTCGTCGTCGACGTCGGCGTCGTCGTCGTCGCCGCCATCGTCGTCGTCGTCGTCGTCGTCGTCGTCGGCGTCGTTGACGTCGTCGTCGTCGTCGGTATCGTCGTTGTCGTCGTTGTCGGCGTCGTCGGCGTCGTCGTCGTCGTCGTCGGCGTCGTCATCGTCGTCGTCGTCGAAGTCGTGGGAATCGTCGTCGGTGTCGTCGTAGTCGGTGTCGGCATCGTCGTAGTCGTCGTCGTCGTCGTTGACGCTGTCGTCGTCGGCGTTGGTGTCGCTGCCAAGTGGAATGTGGTACCTACCGTCACGGCCTTAAGAGGTCTTGCGACCAAGTTGCGGGTGGGGGGGTGGGATGTTTGCACGAGCAGTGGAGAGGACAGCTTCAAGACAGGCAAAATGAATTGCACAACATATATTCTCTTTTCCAAAGGAGAATTCGGATCTACCCCCTGGGCTATTTAACCGCCTCCTTTTCGTATTGCAATTTTCGTATGGTTCCGTCCCATCGTCCATCCTAAATCTGACTTCGTCGGATGCCAGCCAGGCCGGTAACGCCCCCCCCCATCCCTGGCAAAATATGGTATGCGCGCGCGTTCGTTTATCACAAGTCGTAAGTTTGCAGGAATCCTTTGCAACATGTTGGGCGCAGTGCGCACGCGCGCGTCGTCGCGCGAACATGCCGAAATCGTTCAAAAACTCTAGGTTTCGCGACGGTTTCAGAACTGAATGTCCCTACAACATATACAAACACATGGTTTCGCAACAAGGATATTCAAACAAATTTGCGCTCGCGCCTTTGCGATTTCTCAAGGAAATCACATATTTCAACATTTTCATAGCATGGGACTCTCGCGCGTGCATGTCGAAATCGTTCGAACGCCCTTGCGCGCGTGCTGTGGCAAGAGCCCCTTGCAACAAATATGACGATATGCACACGCTCGTGTCGTCGCGCGCGCATGCTGGGATTCTTGAAACATTCCAGGTTTCGGAAGGATTCCCAAACCGAATGTATGGCTTCCCAGCGGCAATTTTGAGACAAACCAGCGTTCGCGCTCTCGCTAACCCTTGAGCAGTCATACTTCTTTCAATTTTTTCATGGACTTCTGCCAAGCGGGCCTCTCGCGCCGCGTGTCGAAATCGTTCGAACGGCCTTGCGTGCGTGCTGGGGCGGAGGGGGGGGGTTGCGATCCACGTCAAATGATACCGCGAGGGCCACTCGCACGCGTCGGCCGCGCGCGCATGTCCAACTCCTTCCAAAACCTTCATCGCCGACGCGAGGACATCGTCATCGTCATCGGCGGGCTTGATCAACATCGGCGCCGTCATCGGCTCTGCCGTCGTCATCGCCACCATCGTCACCATCATCGCTGCTTGCATACTCGTGCCTACCGTTGTCGGCGTCGCCATGATACCGCGCCCGCCCAAATTACCGACTCGTACTGAAGCGCCCGCTGCAAAATTCCCAGCGATCAGCGCCACCGCGGCCGTATCAGTCGCACCAAACTAGCTGGCCGCTGCGCGCGCGAACATGCGCGGGCCAGCGCGGCCGCAGAGATGCACCAGCCAACGCCACGCACTCATCGCAATCGCCGCCACATGGGTTTTGCAAACCAAATTGCGGATGGGTGGGTGGGATGTTTGCAAGAGCATTGAATTTGCCAACTCGTTCGTAAGAACCATTTACACAAAATACATTCCACCACGTCGATTGCACCAGATAGCTGGCTCCACATCTATTGCACCTCAAGGTTTGCACCACATATATTGCGCAACGTAGCATAGCATATAGGACGTAACAGCTATTGACTGCACGATGGCACCTCGCATATTGCACCACATATACTTGCAACAATGCAGCAACAATTGCATATCGTAGACTGTCAGAAACACCTTCTTTGAATGGAATTAGAATTCCCCACCCCGAGGCCAGATTTAACGATCCCCCTGGGACATGGATATTTCATATTTATTCATCACGGGCGTCCGTCCTATACATATCAGCATACCAACAACATCAATTTCGACTCCACTCCGCAATCTCAGGAACAAATGTGAGATGGGGTGCGCATGCGTTGGTTTAGGAAGTGTTCGATTTTCTATTCCCTCGCGAACAAGCGCAGTACGGGGCACATGCGCGCGCCGCCGCGCGTGAACGTCAAAGTGATAATCGAAACGCATGTTACAAGCATGGCAGTCTAAACACTGTAGACGACCGTTGTCCCTTCCACCAGAGGGTTGCCAGAATTCTGCGCGCGTGCACTCGCTGACATCAGGAAGGGACCATAGGTTGTGCGCAAGTGTGACACATAAGACCAAGCAAGCCACTCGCGCGCGCAGGTCGGAAACATTCAGCCGTCATCACGCGCCCACAAACGCCGTCAAGCAACACAATCCGGGCCACACGCGCGCGTCTCTGCGCTCGCAAACTGTCCTCTGCCCGGGACAATACTTCCAACCAAATCAGCACAGTGGGTGCAACAAAAACACGCGCGCAAAACATCAACATGTTGTTCTCCATGGAAACATATCAGGGTATTTGACATTCAACGGGCGCGCAGTGTCGCATCGTCCTCATCAACGCGCTCGTTACCACCATCGTCGGCGTCATCATCACCATAGCATCGTCATCATTATCCTTGTCGTTCCCATCATCGTCATCACCATCGTCGGGATCAACTCTGCCGCCGTCATTGTCGTCATCGTCGATGTCGTCGCACTCGTGCAACTTCTGCGCGCGGGAACTTCTTCCTCATCTCCATCACCAACACCATCGTCATCACCGTCGCCGGCATCATCGTTGCCACCGTCACTATCATCACCGTACCGGTACCATCACCATCGTACTGTCCCCACCACCACTGTCATCGCCTTCGTCATCAACGTCATCATCACTGTCGCCCCTATCGTCATGGGCGTCGCGGCCGCCACCATCGCCACCACCATTTCGCGACCTGCTGGGCGGACGTGTCTGCGCGATAGAATCTCCACGCGCCCGTGCTCTCGTTGAGATCATGGCCAGGTGAATTTTGCCTGTCAGTTGCGGGCGAAGGGGTGGGATGCTTGCATGAGCGATGGAATTGGCGACGGCAACTTCCACGAATGATTCGCACGCCGTAGATCGAATGTACCACCCCCCCGCGCCCGGGTTCATCCGCGAACGTTTTCGCATTGCAATGTGCACATGATTCTGCCACGGTGTTCGCACTTCTCATGAAATCATGCCATCCTGGGTGAGCCAGTAGCGACCGCCCCGTCATCCCTGTCAACGAATATCATGCGAGCGTACCTGTTTACTTCGGAAGGTAATATTCAAAAAAAAACCAGGGGGACAACAACGCCGCAAAGCCCACGCGCGTGCACACCGCTCGAAATCATCCCCAAACACATGAGTCGTGCGAGTGTTCGAACAACATAACAACCTTAAACACCCATAGGTTTCGATTCAACATAATGCAAGTTTCCTGCCTGTGCGCACTTGTTGCTGTTCCAACAATGTACCCGCACTAGAATCTCACCACGCGATGTATCCGCGTTGATTTAGCATGCGCCCGGCTCACGGACCCGTACGACATCACGCCATGCAGGCCACGGGCGCGCGCCGCCACGCGGGCGTTGACGCATTTCGAAGTAAAGCTCGCCACGAACTTATCTACGCCAACATGTTGTATATATATATATATATACACGATTAAAATTGCATTTTTTTTTTCAAAAACATATAGAATGCACGCGCGCAATTCCCCATCATCGTCATCAGCGCCATCGCATCGCTACCGCTAACATCGCCATCGCCAACTGACGGCATCATCAACACCATCACTTCCATCGCCAACACATGGACATCATGATCGCCATCGTCGCCACCATGATCGGCGCAATCATTGGCCTTGCCGTCGTCGTGGTCATCGCCACCATCGCTATTATTGTCATCATCGTTGCTGCCGTTGTCGAAGTCATCATGATATCACGCCCGCCCCAGTCACCGACTGAAGTGCCTGCGCGCCAGCGCGGCATTGTAGACGCGCTGGCAAGTTCCTATTGGTAAGGCTCATCGTAACCGTATCAACTGTACCAAACCAGCTGGTTGCTCTGCGCGCGAGCGTGCACGCGCCAGCGCGGCTGCAGAGACGCGCTAGCAAGTGCCAACTAGTAGCCGCAATCGTGGCCGAATGGGTTTTGCCAAACAAATTGTGGGTGGGAGGGTCGGTTGTTTGTGCGAAAAGTGGAGTTGACAAATTCAAGTTCTTCATCACTAACTACACCGCGTAGAGGGTACCCACTGTTTCACATCACGTGCTTGCGCCATATGGCTTGCACAACGCAGAGTGCACGTCGATGGCGCAAGAACCCAGTGTGTTGGGTCTGGGTGGAAAACACATCGTTTTCCAGAGCGGCAGCCCCGAAACCGACACCCACGCCCGGAAGGCCTGCACGAGGCCTTCCTCGTACTGCCCCCCCCCCCCCAGCGGCCAGACGCGACAGGGCCGCTGCTTCTGCCCTGCTCCCCTCCGCCGCGGCCCTGCCCCGACGCCCCCTTCGCCGCCAACCGGCCCTCTGGCTGGGCGCGCACGGGCGCGGGTCGCAACTGGTGCGCGATACGCCCCTGCCGAAATCGGGGGAGCTTCTGCGGCGCAGCAACGTAGCATGTGGTCGCATTGACCGGCTCAGCATGGAACTGCATGGAACACCGTTGCACATCATGGCGTGCTTTGCTCACGATGCCCTTACAACGTGCCATGGCAGCTGATCGTAGTATTGCGTAGCGTTGCGTAGCGAGTCGTGACATTGTACAGCATAGGAAGCACCTGAATTGTATAACATGGCGCAGAGTTGCATACCGCAGCACAGCATAGCAGTACCTAGCTCACCAAGACATGAAATAGCTTTGAGTAGCACTACGTTGCAGTGCATCGCGTCGCATGGCATAGCATAAAACGGCATAGCAAAACATGGCGCCCCAGGTGCCCCGAAAGATCCTGGTGGTCCCAAGCGACCCTGCGGGCCCGAGACCTGGATGACCACAACCTCCCGGACTGCCATCACCCGAGGCGAAGCGCACCGAACGACCTCGGGGGACCCAAGACAACACGACATGGCCACCCGGCATTTTGCACCAACGGAGTGGGGATCCATTGGGCAACTTCTAATTGGGCAACAGACGGCTGCCTTGGATACAACGCTGTTGGTAAAACCAGCGGCTGAACAAATAAGCTCACATCTTCTCACAATGGTGATCATGCAGAAAGAATCATCCTTGATGGGTGGTGGAGCCGTTATCGCGCACATGCCAATCTTGAAAG